CAGCCGCGCGTGCCCCGCCCGCACCACCCCGCGTCGGGGGTTGGGGGGGGGGTTGGGGGGAGGATAGACCCCCCCCTAAATAAGGGGGGCCAAGGTTGAGAAACACTGATCAAGCAGATCCAGCTAGAATATAAAGTAGCCACCCTGGATGTTTTAGTACCTTGCTGCTGCTGTTTCTGTGTTTCTACCCATTTTTAATTCACGACTGCCATCCACTGTCCATCTTCTGAAACTACAGTCTAGTTCCTGGAGATGATGCTCAGCGATGGTGGGGCGAGGTGGTGAAGCTGTTGGATCAGGGTGGCTCCCGTTCAAATTCCCCCTCAGCTTCAGCAGCTCAGTAGGTGACTTCAGCCCGGGCCTTCTTAGTCCCACCTACCTCACGGGGTTGTTGTGTAAGAAAACGAGGAGGAAGGAATGCTAGGTGTATCACCTTGAACTCTTGGGGAAAAGCTGGAATAAAAATCTAAAGGGCTGGTGTGGGTGGACCATTTTGGAAAGCAAGAGAATGGGGTAAACTTTAAATAGACTTTGACAGGGTTATTTGATTTGTGTGAACCGTTGAGAGTGGGAATTAAAATATTTATTTAATTTAATTAATTTAATTTAATTTAATTTAATTTATTAAATTTTTCAACCGCCCATTTCCCCCCAATGGGGGAACTCTGGGCGATTCACAATAAACATTAGAACATAAAATATATAAACACCGAAAACCTTTAATTAATTAATTAATTAAATTATTTAAGTTAATTTGCTGGGAGAAAGGCAGACCCACCAGGAGCTAATGGAGAAAACGTGTCTCAGAATTGGAGCCCTTGAAATGTGATCTTACGATTTTATTTTATACCTGATTGTCCCTCCTTGGTCTTGGAGACTCGAGAGGAGCAAACGCATTTGCTCTTCCCCCAATTTTTAATCTATTTAAGCGTGATTTGAAAGAGAGAGGGCCAACATTTGCCTTGCAAAAGTTAAAACTCCAGGGTCTCTGTTGCCATTATCAACTGGAGTCAGGACCCGCAAAATCTGGGTTAGCAAAACACGACTGCAGCGTTCATAGAATGTGCCATTGCCAAGCAAAAATGTCAGGGATGAATATGATGGCTTGGTTCACATGACACACCACCCAGCTAAACAGCAATAAAATAGGACTGGAACAAATGAAAACACCATTGCCTGCTGTTTTGTGACCCCCCAAAGCTGCAGATGGCCTCACTTGTTTTAGAAGGGGGCACTGCCTGTCTGACCTTTATTAATCTTAAATTAGTGGATGGGAGACCAAAAGGAAATCTCAGTAGGCCAGCCAGGGAAACGAAAGGAACAAGGGCAATGCTGCACTATGAACGATGTTCTATTTGGGGACATGACGTTTGTCTGAGAAATTGGATATTAATGCATATTTGCTTAGTTTAGAAAACTTTTTTTTCTGGACAGGCGTAGGCCTTAGTATGGGCTGAATGAATGGGTTTCAACTTGTGGTATGCATCCCACAGGTAGGAGTTGGAAGTTATCTAGCTAGAACACAACATCAATTTTAATTCAGTGAATCTCCTCTTGAGCAGTTTGGGTGAGTAGACTTCAATTCCCAGAATTCTCGGTAATGGCTGTGCTGGCTGGGGAACTCTGGGAGCTGAAGTCCACACACCTCTAGAAGGTCAAGAAACACTGCCATAAATCTTCAAATGTTGATTGTAAATAATAAATATAATAGCTGTATCTCTTTTAGCGAAAAAAAGATTTTTTTTCCTGTCATGAGGAGAGCCAGGTTCTTTAACCATGTGATCGCTGGGACCTCCTATACCAAATCTTTGAGGTAGACTGCTGCGGCAACCTGAGGCTCCACAGCCCCACGAAGTCCCCAAATCTCACTCTTCCACACCTTGTGACCGAACTGCAGTTTGCGAGATGCGAGAAGCGAAGGCTCCAGTGCAGACTGGAGGGCCACGCTCATCAGAGGTCCCTGGACATGCTTCATTGTGATTCAGCTGAAATGCCAATGACACGAAATCTAGTTTATAGCTTGACCTGCCCCCCCACCTTTAGGGGGGGGGTCTCCCAGCAAGTGAAGGCATCAGCAAGGGACAGGCTGGCGGGAGAGAGGAAGGGAGGGTAGGTGGGTGTCCCCGTCACCTGATCTCCCTTCTTCATTATGAGGTCAGACTGAGAGGGGCTTAAGGCCATTTCAAAGGCAGAAGCTGCTGAGTTTTCATTCCTCCAGGAAAGGCCCTGCAGCCTTGGCCCCAGGCGGCCCTCGGGGGCTGATGGGGAGCGTTCCTTCCCAAGTGGGGCTCACCCAGGCCGCATCCTGTGGCCCCAGGAGGCCAGAGAAACACCCCGAACTGTTGGACTGCTGCTGGCCACGGATCTGTTGTGTTGTAAGTGGTGGGGAGGGTGGGAAAGGCCATCTCGGGACT